AACTCCAATGGCCTGGGAAACAAAAGCAAGAATAAATAGGACTCCATGAAATTAGAAAGCCTCAATATAAAAAAATAATAAATTACCACATATACAAAATGGCAAACTAGAAATTTGGAGATATTTGTATATCACATATCAGACTAGGCTTAATATCCATAATATACAAATATTGAACACAACTCAACAGCAAAATGGCAAGCAATCAAAACTGGGTTAAAGGCCTGATAAACACTTCTCCAATGAAGACATAAAAATGATTCAGACACATGAAAGAAAAGAGGCTCATCACACCACTTATTAACGTGAAAATGAAAATCAAAGTAACTTTTTACTGTAAAAATAATATATATCAAAAAATTTAGAAACTAGGTTGGGTATAGATGTAGGGAAAGAGGATCTCTGGTACACTATTGTTTGGAAAGTAAATTGGTATAGTTTTATGTAAAATGGTATGCAGATTCTTTTGAAAACTAAAAATTAAAAATCCCCTATCACCATAAATACCACTTAGCCATTTATGCAAAATATATAAATCCAGCAATAACACTTAGCCATTTATGCAAAATATATGAAAGTGCTAATTTGAAAGAATTATGTTCATAGCTGCATTAATCATAATAGCCAAAATATGAAATCAAACCAAATGTCTATCAACAAATGACTGAAGTATCTGTGTTATACTCAATAGAATACTATTGGGTCACTTAAAAAGATTAAACTGTGTCATTTAGGGAAAAATGAATGAACTTAAAGTGCTTATGCTGAATGAAATGTCAGAAAGTCAGAGTTTTCTGTTGGTTTCACTCATATGTGGAATAAGAGTAACTAAAGCAAATGAACACAACTCGGAGAAAACTTTGGTGGTTATCAGTGGGATAGGGGAGACGTATTGGAGAAATAGGTGTAAGGATCTTACAGTAAGGGGATGGTATTTGAACTTTGGTTGTGGGTGCTGAATGTCACATGAAGAGGTGTGAAGCTAAATCCTGTAAATTCAAAAATATTGAAAAACCATGATAAATTAACAACATAGAAAGTACCACATGAGATATATTTTGGTATTAGATATTGGTATGGTGAAAATATTGAGTAAATGGTCTGTTTTATACAGTTTTCTCAATAAATGCTCAAATAATTTATTTAAATACATACAGGTGTGAGGGAGTTTGTGCAGACATTGTCACTCTCATACACTGATGGTGGAAATATAAATTGTTGCATGATTCAGCAGCTCCACTTCGAAGAACTATCCAAAAGAAATGAAAACCTGAGGCCAAGGATGTAGTTCAGAAGAGAGTGATTGCCTTGCATACCTGATACCCTGGGCACAATCTTGGTACTGCACATAAAATACAATTAAAGCATGTCTACAGAAATATTTACATAGAACACTCATGGTACAATTACTTATAACAGCAAAAATGGAAACAAACAAAATTGTCATCAAATGATGACTGGACCAACCAAACACGGTATGGCTATACAAATGAATTTTCAGCAATGAAAGAAAATGAAATAATGGCACTTGCTGCAAAATTTAGTAACCTTGAAAACATGCTAAGAAGTCAGACATTAAAGGACACCTATTTTAGAATTTAATGCATATGAAATGTCTATAATGGGCAAATCTATAGCGACAAAATAAATTAATAGTTGCCAACAGTTTCGCAGAGTGATTTGTGTGCAGAGCAAGATTGGGATTAACTGCTAATGGGTATGGTTTTTCTTTCTTATTGACTCAGTGTGAGATAAACAGTTAAACAGCTGTTCATGGTTGGGTTTTAGTCATACAATGTTCCAATACCCATTTCTCCACCAATGTACATTTTTCACTACCAATAACCCCAGTTTTCCTATCACTACCACTCCCATCTCAGCCTGCCTCTATTACAGGCATTTTTCTTTTTTCTCTCTCTCATTTTGGACATTATTTTTGCAATACAGGTCTGAGAGTTTATTATGTTCCTTTACCTACTTTCAGCACGCAGTTTTTATCTAGTGATCATCTCCAACAATCATTTTCATAGTGGACACTTCTCTATACCTACTGCTTTCTACCTCAGCAATTGAGGCGGGCATCCAACCATGGACCAATCCTCCTGGCTCTTGTTTCCACTATCCTTTAATATTAGTCTCAGACTGTGTTTTTTATATAACACAAATTAATACAGTTATTCTGTCTCTCCTTCTCCTGACTCATTTCACTCAGCATGATACTCTCCATGTCCACTGGTATCAGTTTTCCTTGAAGGTGAGTAAAGTGTTCCAAAACTAGATTGTGGTAAAAGGCAATTCCCCCGAATATATTAAAATATTGTGGTGTAAATTTCAAATTCATGAGCTCTATGGTTTGTGATTATAACTCAATAAACTGCTACATATGTAAGATTTTGTGGGTCTGGGTCTCTCTCAGTGGTCTTACAAACCTGAGTCCAATGTGCCCATGAACTCAAAGCTCCTCTGGGTCAGAGTGATATTACAGTGGGTATGGTATGGTTTGCCTTGCATGCAACTAGACTGGTTTTTTTATACAGTGTTCAATATTGTCCCCGAACACTGCCAGGGGTAATTCCTGAGTGAACTTCACTGGGTGTGGCCAAAAAAATGCTCATCATCACCCAACTTGCCTGAGTGTGATCCAGGCAGCTCTGCATTTAGGGATCCCTTGCACCACAATGAAATAAGTGATTTCCAAAACATCACAACCAAGTATGTATGAGCACAACTAAATATAAATATTGTGAGCACTGAAACTAGATATGTAATCCCTAGAGAATACAGCAAACAAAAAAGTGTGTGAGCACAACTAAAGTGTACAGGTCTCTGTGAGCAAGAACACTACACAATCAAGTGTGCGAACCCTAAAAAGTGTCACAGTCAATTGTGTGTGCACAAAAACCAAGTGTGTACAACCTTAAGTTACTGGAATAAAATTGGGTGGAGATCAATACATTAAAGTTCCAAAGAAGAGCCATTATATATAACTACAGTCATCAAAATATAAGAATAAATCAGCACTGAAGTAGTATAATTACTTCTTTAATAAGGCATTAAATAACAAGATTCAGGTCTAAGCATTATCATTATTTTTAAGTAGGTGTGAATGTAAAATAAATAGAGATGTGCAACAGCGACAACAAAAATAACAAATGGTTAACACCCACAAATGGTTGGAAAAGAGGGTAAACAACCAAATATGTTCATCTTTTCCCATAATAAAGCTCCAGAATTTTTTCAAAAAGGTATACGACACTTCCTTTTGGTGAGGCTGTAGATACGCAGGATGGATTTTAGTCCAGTGCTTTTAGTTTATTATGCAAAGTTGGATGTTCTAGCTAAATCATGCACAAGCAAAACGGACCTCTGGTCATCTTGCAAAGATATACCCTTGTTCATCTTGCAAAGCAGTGGAATGGGGCAGGAGGGAAGGCAGTGATGTTCACCAAGGTCCAAGTTTGGATGGAGGAAACAGAGGAAAAGAAAGCACCTAGAAATCTGACATTTTGGACATGAACTCCTCCTGTCCTTACCCTGCCAGAAAAGGTGATGTGACTTGAATAGTGTGCTGAGCCACAGGGCCAGAACTGGGGAGATATCTTCCCTGTTCCTTCTTCAATGACTAGTCCCTACACCAGAAACCCAACCTCAAGAACTGTATTCAAAACATTTGGCAAGAGGTAACAAATGCCTAGACCAATCAAACAGTTGCCAGTCACAGTTCTAGGACAGAGGTCTGGGGGTTTCTGCTGTCAGAGACATTAATAGCTTCATTACCTAGGTTGTTGGAAGGGGGAAGATACAAGAATGAATAGTAGTGACTTTTTATTAGGTAGCACAAAAAAGTTCACCTCACTCACCTCCCTTCTGTGTTAATAACTGAGATAGCTGTGCTAGGATAAAACATCCCAGAGATGGGAGGGAGAGGGGTGGAGCGGGAGAAAAGAGAGGTGAGAGAGAAAGATGGGAAGAGGATGAGTGTAGCAAGAGGAGAGAGAGAAGAAAAGATTAAGCGAGGGAGTAAATGATGTTAGAGAAAGGAAGGGGGAGGGAGAGAGAAGATGAGTGACAAGAAGGAGTGAGGGAGAGAAAGGAGAAAGAGTGGAGGTTAGGAGGGAGAGGGGACTGAGAGGGGGAAAGAATAAAGAGCAGGAGGGAGAAAAGAGAGAAAAGGGAGAAAGGGAAGAGAAAGGAAGAAAGGGAAGAAGAGAGAAACGGATAGGGAGATAGGGAATAAGAAAGGGAGGGAAGGAGAGATGACTAGATGAAGAGAGATGGAAAGGGAAAGGGAAAAGGGAAGAGAGTCAGGAGGGAGAGAAAGAAAGGGTGTAGGAGGGATTGGGCATTCACAGGTGGACTTTTTCCTCTTGAGGGGCCAAAACAGATTTCAGCATGCAACTCCAAACTAATTTTTCATACATAGTCTAGAAAACTATCAAACTAGGAAAACAGGCTATGTTTGCATTAAAATCCCGGTCCCTAACATTTTGTGAACTAGAGAGAAGAGAAGAAAACAAGAAACTGAAATGGGAAGAAAGGGTCTTTGCCCACACTTTAAACCGCCACCAATCTGCTAGTGAAATCTCTTCCTGAACTGCTACAAACTTGTTTTTAGTTCAATTTCTCTTACAGAGAAGAGAAGACCTCCAAAGAGAGAAGGGAACTGGGAAAGCTAGATTCGGAGGTACAGACTTCATTAGGCAAGGAAAAAAATACTTGGGTCCATGAGCAATAAAAGGGGAGTAAAAACACTTTAAGAACTATTCATTTTTATTTAACTTTAAATAAGAGAAAATAACTTATTCTCATTCATAAAAACACTTAAATATGTATAGTGTAGTGTCATAAGCTTATGAAGATAGAAAGAATGAAAGTAATTTCATCAAACAATAAATTCAAGAATAGAATTAACACATTGAAGAACATAATAAATAACACCCAGATCCCTGCGGGCTGCATTTGGGAGCATCGGATCCTCAGCTTTGGAATAAATCTCAGAATTATTCACTTTTCATAAGCTTTTCCAGCCACAACAAGTTCAGGGGCGGTGTTCTGGCAACTTGGAAAAAGACCCTGCAAATAGAGGAGGGGTTTATTTAGTACCCAGAAGATCAAAGCAAGCAGGCTACAGGGAACAGTGGTCCAGAGGACCAGAGCTTCCCTCTCCTATCTAATCCTGGGTCAGAAACTAAAGGTCCATTATTTTCTTCTACTCCTTATGTGGGGGCTGCTCTGGGCTTTCTTTGACTATGTACAATCCCAGGTCAACTGGAGCTCAGTACTTACCGGTGAGAATACTTCAATTTTATACTCTTGAGGTCCTTAGTAGGATTCAAAGACAACAGAACGTTCAATTGTAATACCAAGGAGTGAAGCTCAGAAATCTTGTAGCCACTGCATGTCTCTAAGGCAAAAGCCTGGAATCAACATGAACAATGATTTTTATAACAGGAAGCAGACCTTTCAACTATACCACTGGCTGGGCTCAAGGGGACCATATGGGGTGCAGGGATCAAACCCATGTTGGCTGTGTACAAGGAAAAGCCCTACCCTCTGTTCTATCTCTCCAGCCCCACTAGTCAAAGATCTTGAAAACTCATAAGGCACAAACACTGATCAATGGTTATAGGGCACTACTTAGAATACTAGGTTACTAATTTCTGTATTCATAGGTGCCAACTAAACTATAATAAGCCATAGGTAATCATGTGACCTAAAATCTACACAAAAATCTATAGAATGAAAATGACTTTTTCTTTAGCCACTCATAGTTAAGAGCAGATGACCAAGTAAACCTCAGAACAAACTTGAGGCCCCATTTCAATAGCTAACAGGAACTTAAGCTTGTTCTCCCCGCTCTGGCTCTTACAACTCTCAATCCACATGTTCATTTTCTCATTCAACTTAAAAATGCCCATTACTAAGCAGAATCAGTATACCAGCAAACTTAAGAGCAAAACTTCTGGCAGAAAACTGTATTTAAATTCTAGCTTCACTGACTACATGGCCTGGATCTAGTTATTTAACCTTTCTTTCCCTCACTTTCCCAAATTGCCAACTGGGGAATCATTACAGCAATTACACCCTAGAATTAAATTAGTTAATATATAGAACAAGGAACTGAGTCCAGCACATAATTAAGTGTGCAGACAATGAAGAGTAAGCTTAGCAAGCCCTCTGCAGAACACTGGAAATATAAAGATGATTAAGGCTTCTGTGCTTCAGATGTCTATAGTCCAATGAAAGAGAGATGTTAAGTATACAGAGAATTAGAAAATGTGCAGCAAGTCTTATGGTGGAAGTGTTCACAGAGCCCTGAGGGGCAAAGCAGCACCATCTATGAATATTGGAAAAATAAAATATAGCTTCAAAAAGGATAGTCAGTAATGAGTGTTGAAAGGTCAAATGCAAGATCAAAAGGCAGAAAAGAAAGATTCTTCCTATAAGGCTTCTGAAGATGCTAAACTATTTTCCCTGAACTCCTTTTTAACCCAAATATCTTGCCTGAAAATCCAAATATCTTATCTGGAAGTGTGGCTGGGGGCTAAAAAGACCACACTTTACTTTTTTATGTGGCACTTATACTTCTGCAGGAATTGCAGGGCTCCAGTGAATACTGTTTGGAAACCACTGCCACAGGCAAAGGACAGTCATTAGCATGCTGAGCAAATAATGGGCTAAACATTATCTTGGATGTATTAAGTAAAATGAATACCCTATCACTTCAGGTCCAATGTTTTGCCTTGACTATGATAAAAAGTCTTTTTACTGGTGTTTCCACTTTTACACTGCTATCCAGTACACTTCTTGTACTGTGACATCAGTAGTAATTTCCAAACTACAAAAACAGGAGTACATTAGTTCTTGGTCTGAAAATCTTCCCACAACATAATTTAACATGGGTGTCTCCATATGGCATTAAAGGTCTAGCAAAGGGAACAATCCCTACCATTCTGGTTTCATGTCTCACTATTCCTCACTGATACAATCTTGACTCTTGTTATGGAAAATGCCCTATTCTATCCCAAATGCATCATAGGCTTTCCTTATTATCTTCACATCTTTCTAATCATTGTTCATTCCACTTAGAATATCTCTTCTCACAACTCACAACTCATGTTTCAGGAGCCAATCCAATCCAAAAGTCTTCCTCTTTGAAGCCTCTCTTATCTATAAAGAAGTAACATAAAGAACTGTGGAAGGGATGACCTGAAGTCAGGTCAAGAGGACATTTAGCACTCAGTGTTTTAGCCAAGAGTTAATACTGCATTATTTCTATATTGGTTGGAAAGTGGTTTGCTACCCTAAATTCGGGTGGAGCGATAGCACAGCAGGTAGGGCGTCTGCCTTGCACGCAGCCAACATGGCCGACCCGAGTTCGATTCCTCCGCCCCTCTCGGAGAGCCCGGCAAGCTACCGAGAGTATTCGATATGCCAGACACAGTAACAACAAAGTCTCCAATGGAGACGTTACTGGGCCCGCTCGAGCAAATCGACGATCAACGGGAGGGCCTTTACCTTTACCTTTTACCCTAAATTCCACAACGTCCCTTTAGAGTCTTCCAGATGGCTACAAGATCCTGAATTCAATGCCTCATTATCAGCATTAAGGCCTCCCTGATCAGGGCTCCAGGCCTATAGTTCTATCTTGTTCTTTTTTGCCACACCTGATATACTCAAGTCTTACTCTGGGCTCTGCATTCAGAGATCACTCCTGGCCAAGGTGTGTGTGTGTGTGTGTGTGTGTGTGTGTGTGTGTGTGTGTGTGGAGGAGGTGGTGTTGGAATATGTGGTGCCAAGGATCAAACCCAGGTTGGCTGCTTTCAAGGCACATAACTTAACACACTGTACTATCTCTTCATCCCATCTATTTGTTCTTATTATATCTTATTATGGAGTAGGTAAAGCTCCATACCTCCTGTACTATTGTTCCAGCCCACTCTTTTACTTCTTTGTATGTGACACATCAGTAAAAACTCATAGCCTCTGTAAAGCTGGTTTTATTCACAAGTTTTCATAAAACCAAGAAAACATCACATAAAAATTTTATTCATATTTAGAGGGGGAGACATTTGTGATTTTCCTCTTTCCTCAGAGAAGAGCATTATAGCACACCTCCAAATTCCTCCCTTTATACACATGTTTGTTTTCACTATGCAATTCTCTAAGTGAGTGCACTTCTAATACAAGCTCCCTCAGAAGAAGACTCTCAAAAGCTGAGAGCACTGCAAAGGTGGAATGGTGTCAGATAAGAAAGGGTCCCACCCACCAGAGTAACATTTTATTAGTCTTTTTTACAATATTTTAGGTAAGTTTTATTTAAAATAATGGACATTAAGGCTAAGAAAAAGGAAATCAAACACTTTAAAAAACATTTCACTAGGAATGCTTTAGAAAGTAGTCAAGCCCTAAGATACCAAGATGTTAAAAATTTTTAATTGTGAATACACAGCAGCTTTGTCACCAAGACTCCCACAACCTAATTTATATCTTTCTCATAAGCCACCCTATGTTTTTAGTTTTATTTTAATTGAATTACCATGAATTACAAAATTATAAAGTTATTTATGGTTGAGTCTAAAGCATACAATGCTCCAACACCAATCCCTTCACCAGTGTCTACTTCCCTCCAATTTCCCTCCTCAGTTTCTGTCTGTCCACCCCCTGCCTGCCTCATTGACAAGCACTTTCTTCGTTTTACTTTCCTTTAATAATTGTGGCTTCCACAATCAAGGGACAGGTATGCGGTTTCCAGGACTAAATCTCTATGCCACATGACAGCAGAGGTACCGGGCTGTCCCTCCCTGGCGTCCCGCCCACTTGTCAGCCCGGCTGTCACCCCCACAATGTGCCTCCGGGCGCCACATTAGTGCACCAACAGCCCTGATCCAGAGACATAGCAGTAAGTCCCAGAAAACACCACAGAGCTGGAGATCTCTCCGGGTCCTATACAGAGCCAATTTCACAGCAGCAATGCAGATGGAGCAAGTGCAGTCTCCCTGCCTATTCCAGATGCAATTCCAGCGACCAAGAGCTTCCACAAGCAAGACCCAAGTATGCGGGTTTCAGTACTAAATCTCCATGGCACATGGTGGCAGAGGTGACAGGCTCCCCCTCCCTGGCTTACCACCTGCTCATCAGCCTGGCTGTCACACCAACAATGTATCTCTGGGTGCCATCTTGGCCCAGATACAGCCCTGGTCCAGAGACAGCCAATTGAATCCCAAAATGGATTAGTGCCCTTCAGAAATGTCTCTGGAACCCAACCATTTACAATCTAGGATTCCAGAAGTGCATGGCCACAGCACCCATGATATTCAAAATGAGCAATGGACAATAAATGACCTAGCATCTGCCCCTGGCAGGCAGGCTTGAATGGTGGTAAGAAAATTCGAGCAAAACATAATGACCAAAAGTGGAGAGAATATTGGGGAAATTGCGTGCCATGGAGGCAGAGTGAGGACTGGGATGGGGGGAATATACTGGGGACACTGGTGATGGAAAGTGTGCACTGGTGGAGGGATGGGTGTTTGATCATTATATGGCTTAATCTCAAACATGAAAGCTTTGTAACTGTATCTCATAGTGATTAAATAAAAAATGAAAGCAATGTGGAGTTCATGCCCAATTCAATCAGCTTAATCAATGGCTGAATAAATAGCAGTGCTCTTACATTAAAAAAAAAGAATTGTGTTCTACTGTTGCTGATAGGGTAGCACATATCACTTTACCTCTTTTTAGCACTACTTCTCCTCCAGAGTTCATATTGATGTCTTCCCTGACCTATTCCCTTTACCCTGAAATGCCACCAGTGATTTTAAATCTTGCCTCTGGCAAATGATTACCTTATTTTTGAGATTATTTATATAGAGGGATAGGAGATAGGAGGCAGCAGCAAGCTTGGAAGCCTTCACCTCGATAAAGGCATAGTTCTGCAGTGTCAACTCACATATGAAGTAGGACAAGGTCACAGTCTGCTTGTTAGTAGGAACAAACTGAAAGCAGAAAGAAGTCGGTTTCAATCAATTTAGAAAGTTTATCAAGAAGACCCACTACATCTAATCTGTCCAGTTAGAGGCCTAAACATCTCTTTAAGTAATACAGCACTCCAGCTAGTATGATTAACTCTCAGGACTCTACTCCCAAATCACAGGATTTTTAGTGGGGATAATGATACTTGCAGTAGGACTTGCCATCATTAGGAGTTTTAATGAAATTATCAAGTGTGCATTTCATACCTTCTCCCAGGTACCAAATGTACAAGTCATCTTTTGAAACACTAATGTTTCCCAGCTCTGACTTTACACTTGTTTCTACCCTAGGAGGTGCTTCTTATGTTTCCTCCTCTCCACTTTTGTCTGAATTTTTATAATTTTTAAAAATTCAGGCACCACAATTTACAAAGCATACAACAATAGCATTTCAGGCATACAATGTTTCAACTCCAATCCCACCATGAGTGGGTTGACAACACCAGCGTCAGAGTCTCTGCACTAATATCCTCAGATCTCCCACTTATACTCAGCTTTCCTCCTTATGAGTCATATTTTTTAAATTTTTAAATATTGCAGTTTGGGGCCCAGTCTTATAGTCAGTTGTGTTGCCTCTAGTGGTTTTAGTGGTTTGGATAAATCCAGATACCTCACTTCTTACCTGATTGTTTAAAATTATGATCACAACATAGAGAAAAGTACACAATATAATGCTGTGACATAAAATGGATCATTATAAAGTAAGTTCCATTATAACTAATGAGATTTATGAGAAAGAAGAGAACCTTGCCAAGAATCTCGCTCAAACTTCTGATGCGTCCCGATTAAAGAAAGTTCTCCCTCTTCCCCTATTCAGCCCTCTTCTTAGAACTTAAAGGCACATAATGGAAATCTGCAATTTCTACCCCACCCCACACCCCTGACACATACATACCATCATCACGCTTGCCAATCTCTAATTTAGGAGGCTGAAGAAGAAAATTACCCTTCCTGCCAAGTGTACTTTTCCCTCACCTGACACACAGGCAGCACTCTAGATATAGAAGAGACTAAATCAGTGGTGGTAAAATAAAGATGTGCTTCACTTCTCTTACCTTAGCATAGGCACGCAGAAAATGATAGGCAATGGGAATATTGATATCAAATTCGAGGGTTTGCAGAACTTTGATTTCCATGTTAATCATTTCATGTCGTGAATAAATATCATCACATACATACAGGAAGTCCTCTATACAAGGTGGATTGGGTTCCTATAGTTTCAGTGAAAAAGCAGTCACAACCAAAGACAGTTCAAATTGTCTTTGTGTTCGGAGATGAAAAGCAGAAAAGCAGATAGGGAGAGGAGTGAAAGAGAAAGCCACCCTTCTTGACATATGCTTTCAAGGGCCCTCTGAAAGGCAGCTTCTGATTCATTTGAGTGGCATATCCTATAAACAAAATTAGAGAGAAATAAGAAACCTGTCCAAAACTGTAGCTCCAGAGATTTTATGCTCTCCGTAGAGAAGGCCCTGTTGGTGTTACTTCTTACAGCAGTCAAGGAAACACAATATAACAAAGGGACTGGGAACAGTGATCTCTCCTGGGGAGTAAGTGTTGGGTATGGGAAATCTCAGGTCTATTCTGGGAAGAGGGAGGAAATGAAAGCCATAGACAGGAAAACATAAAGATGGAAAATAAACCTGTAATTTTGGTCCTAGTCTAAGAAACAAAAAGCAATGTTTAGGAGGGGAAACCACTAGGGTATAACGCAGTGAAAGAGACACAAACAGGCACAAAGAGTGCTTAAATAAAGACAATGGACTCCCGAATGTGAGAGGATATGCATGGAGGGCTAGATTTAGATTAAAGTAAAGTAAAGGCCCTCCTGTTCATCATCGATTTGCTCAAGCGGGCCCAGTAACGTCTCCATTGGAGACTTTGTTGTTACTGTGTCTGGCATATCGAATACGTCACGGGGAGCTTGCCAGGCTCTGCCGTGCGGGCGAGATACTCTCGGTATTTTGCCGGGCTCTCCGAGAGGGGCGGAGGAATCGAACTCGGGTCGGCCATGTTGGCTGCGTGCAAGGCAAACGCCCTACCACTGTGCTATCGGTTCTTAGATTAGACCAAGGATAACAAGAACCCCTATCTGGGAGTGCCTTTTCATGGTTCATGCCTCTACATGCTGAACCCTGATTTTGGAAAGACATCTAAGAGGCAGGAAGACCCTAACACTTTTCCCTACCTGCAGTTAAATGCCTTGCCGCTTCTGGGCCCAGTTCAATCCTGCACCCAGAGCCAGGAATAATCCCTGATCACCACCAGATGTGGTTCAAATAACTACCCCCCACACAAATAAATCCACTCTGAATAGAGTAAAAGTTGCTTACCTCTAAGCTCCTAAACTCTAAGGTTTTATACAACTAGTTAATCTGAAGGGAAAACGAGAGTTAAACATGAACATGAACAGTTAGCATCTATGGAAAATTCAAGAAATAATATGGATTATCATTATGGAGGAAAGGCCTCATTTTCTACTGCTGCTTCAGAAAAGAACTATTCCACATGGATTCATTATTATACCCAAAAGGTCACATTTTCTTCCATATCTCCAGTATCTAGACTTCAAAATGCTTTCTTACTTACAAGGGAAATTCAAGAATGAAAAGGCTGCAGAGGATAGAGATCCATGAACCAGATGAAAGTTTTAAAAAGAAGAAGCAACAATTTAATTAGTCAGATCTATAAGCATAAATTTGCAAAGAGGAAGTGGAAGAATCTAATACTCAGCAATGCATATACCACCACTGCCACTCAATGCTACTTTCTCCGATGGAGAAATTATTTATGTAACTATGAATGCAATTGTATATACATTACATATAATGCATATGTACAACAGTGTATACACATGTACAATATATATTTATACACATAAGTATACAAAATATATACATACATATACATGAAATATCTGATTTGGACAAAACCTAATTAATTATCTACAGATCCTATGGACTCAGGCTTACCTCAAACTTTGCTGCAACAAAAAAAGCTGTAGAACCAAGGAGCTGTAGCTTTTCCTTCCTGCATATTACCTCCATAAGATAGAGATCTATCAGCTTCACTGCTAAGTACAAGGTCTCATGACTCATCTCAAAGGTTACCTAGAAGAAACACAAACAAGGTAAGAATATGCATATTGTCAAGCTACAAAGACACTTCCAGAAAGATTCAGGCTACCCACCATGCAGATTTGAGGACAATGGAATGACAAGGCCTGATCAGCTCATTGTTCTCAGCTCATGTCTGATTGTAACTCAAATATAAAAGCTTGTAAATGTGTCTCACAGTGATTCAATTAAAATTTTTTTAAAAGATATGATCAGCTATGGATGAAAAAACTCCTTTTGTGGACCCAAAAGTTATTACATAAAGACATTTGTGCTCCTGTTTATGGAACCACTATTCACACTAGCCAAAATCTGAAAACAACTCAATTGGCAAAGAACATATGACAGGATAAAGAAATTGTGATGGGCAAGCCAGAGATATAGTTCGGAGGTTGAGGCCATTTTTCTTCATATAGTCAACCCAGATAAGACCCCTGGTACTGCTTCTGGTTTCCTGAGCACTGTCAGAAGTGAATCCTGAGCACATATGAAGGAGTAAGCCCTGAGCACTACTGGGTGTCACTCAAAATAGGAAAAAATGAAAGAAATGAATTGTGGTGCACATACACAATGGAACACTATATGGCTATAAGAAAAGACAAAATCATGCAATTTGGCACTATGTAGATCAATCTGGTGAGTATTATGTTGAGTGAAGTCAGTCAGAAGGAGAGAAACAGAATGATCTCTCACATGCAGGTTATATAAAGAAACATAGTAGGGGAATAATATATGGTCAAAGGCAACAGAACACAGGAAAATTGGCCAACAGAACTGAGATAAAGATAGTGGAGGAGTGTGGGTGGAAAGGGACACTCTCGTGGAAGGTGACATTCTGGTGGAGGGGACACTGATAAAACTGAAACACTGTATGCACAAACAATACTGTAAATCGTGGTACCTCAAATACGGTTTTAGTATCTTTTGAATTAAAAATTCCTTTTCCTTTACTTGGTGTTCCCTTCTCTACCTTAGCTGCCTTTTTCCCCAGAATGTTCTGCCAGCTTCCAAGCCCTGGAGCAGACCTCCTGGTACTTATCTCAACTATTCTTGGGTGTTCGACTCCCATTCTGTTACTTTATAGTCCCCAGACAAGTGCAGTCCTTCTATGTGCAACGAAATACTATGCAGCTGTTAGGAGAGATGAAGTCATAAAATTTGCTTATAAGTGGATGGACATGGAGGGTATCATGCTAAGTGAAATGAGTCAGAAAGAGAGGGACAGACATAGGATTGCACTCATTTGTGGAATATAAAATAATAAAATATGAGACTGACACCCAAGAACATTAGATGTAAGGGCCAGGAATAGCTGGAATTCTGTTATGGAATTATGGAATTATGCATAGCTGGAAGCCTGTCCCATGAACTGGGGGATAAGGCAGCTAGAATAGAGTAGGGATCACTAAAACAATGATGGTTAGAGGAATCATTGATGGAAGATGTGTGCTGAAAGTAGATAAAGGACCAAACATGATAACTTCTCAGTATCTGTATTGCAAACCATAATGCCCAAAAGTAGAGAGTATGGGAGAAATTGTCTGCCATGTAGGCAGAGGGATGGTTGGAAAGGTTGGGGGATACACTGGGAACATTGGTGGTGGAGAAAGTGCACTGGTGGAGGGATGGGTGTTTGATCACTGTATTATTGAAACTTAAACATAAAAGCTTGTAATTGTAGCTCACAGTGATTCAATAAAATTTTTTTTAAAAAATCCTTTTCCTAGTTCTTTATTCTATCTTCAGTGCCTTGGAGTATCTTGTCATTATCTATACCTGGACATTTGGGTAGTTGAGCAGTCTTATAAATCAGAGATGTTCACCCTTCTCTATGGGTATTCTAAATGAACCTCTCTCCTTGATATCTAATACTTATATTCTTGCTTACCCTATTTGCTACTACCTTATACAGCAAACTCTCCAAAAAGATCATGTTTATTTCACTCTTACATATAAATATCCATTTCTTGGTTTATATATTCAGTAGTTTCTCTTACCTATTAGATACATTATTAAAATCTATGGATTTAGAACAAATATCAATAGTAACATCTGGTAATGAGCTAAGGACTAGGTGAGCCAGAATGTGATTAAAACATTACTAATAGAACACTTCTTTCCCATTTTCCTGGTACTCCTACACCAACTCCAAGAAACCAATCACTCTAACTCTAATCCCAGTTAGAGCTGGTCATATGGCAAGCTTTCCAAATGAGACAAAACTTGGCTTGTTTGTGTAAGTGGAGCCCTTTATACATATATCTTATCAAATAAACACTTTTATTATGAGCAGAAAGTATTCCTGCCTGAAATGATTGCACTCCCTCAGCCAAAATACAGTTTAGGAAACAGAACATAATATTTGATCACTCACTCAATCTCCAATGAGTTTCTTCTTCATAACCCTTTGTGTTTTTTCTTCAAGAAGAATAAAATACACTTTTCCAATACTATAACCATGCATGAATTGTTTCTTTAATGTTTGCCCAAATAGTTGCTCAGTTATTGCCATATGATCACCAAATACAGTAGAATTTCTAACTTAATTTCCCATTGCCATGTAAAACAACAAGTTCATGGGTTCTGGGGATTAGGATATATACTTGTTATTCTGTTTATTGTATTTTTCGTGGGAATACAATAAAACATCTAACACCATCAAAAAATAGGGTGATGAAATGAACAGAAACTTTCCCAAAGAAGAAATCTGAATGGCTAAAAGAAACATGAAAAAACGCTCTACATCACTAATCATCAGGGAGTTGCAGATCAAAACAACAATGAGATATCACCTGACACCACAGAGATTGGTCCAGATCCAAAAGAACAAAAGCAACCGCTGTTGGCGTGGATGTGGCGAGAAAGGGACTCTCCTTCACTTGCTAGTGGGAATGCTGACTGGTTCATCCCTTTTGGAAAACAGTATGGACGATCCTCAAATAATTAGAAATTGAGCTCCCATTTGACCCAGCAATACCACTACTGGGAATATATCCCAGAGAGGCAAAAAAAAGTACAGTCGAAATGACATCTGCACTTCTATGTTCACTGCTGACCTATTCACAATAGCCAAAATCTGGAAAAAATGCAAGTGCCCGAGAACAGATGACTGGTTAAAGAAACTTTGGTACCTCTACACAATGGAGTATTATGCAGCTGTTAGAAAAGATGAAGTCATAAAATTTACATACAAGTGGTACTACATGGAAAGTATGAAGCTAAGTGAAATGAGTCAGAAAGAGAGGGACAGATATAGAAAGGTTGCATTCATATGGGGAATATAAAGTAACAAATTGGGAGACTAACACCCAAGAATAGCCGAGATAAGTACCAGGAGGTTCACTCCATGGTTTGGAGGTCAGCCGCACATGCTGGGGGAGAAGGCAGCTCAGATAGAGAGGGGAGCACCAAATAAAGGGAGTTGGGAGGATCCTCCCAGGATGAGAGATGCATGCTGAAAATAGACTATAGACCAAACATGATTGCCACTGAATGCCTCTTTTGAAAATGACAGCACCCAAAAGGAGAAAGACAACCAAAGGGAATGCCCTGCCACAGGGGTGGGGTGGGGTGGCATGGGGGGTGGGGGGTGGGAGGGATGCAGGGAGCATTGGAGGTGTGGAATGGGCACTGGTGGACGGATGGATACTCAATCATTGTATAACTGAAATCCAAGCACAAAAATTTGTAAGTCTACAACTGTACCTCATGGTGTTTCACTAATAAAAAAAATAAATAAATAAAGGATATGTACAGCAGGAAGAAATCACACTGCTAAATGCAAATGCATCAAATGAGGGACTAGCTACTTAAAATAACTGCTAACAGATTTTAAGGAGAACATTTCTAGCAACAGAATAGTAGTTGGAGACTTCAACACCACCTTATCACCTCTGGATAGATCAACAAAAATAAAACTCATCAAGGGAACACTGGTTTTGAAGGAAGAAATCGAAGAGACAGGGCTAATAAATCTATACTGGACTTACATACCCCCAAATGAATACACATTCTTTTCCAGTCAACACAGAAAATTTTCCAGAATAAACCACATGCTGCTCCACAAAACATGCCTCAACAGAATCAAAATGATAGCCACTGTATCAACTATCTTTTCAGACCATGATGCACTGAAGATAAAAGTTAATCATGCACAGATGCAAAGAACCAATTAAACACCTGGAAATCAACAACTCAATGTTGAACAACAAGTGGGTTAGGAAGGAAATCAAGGAAGAAATCAAAAGGTACATGGAAACAAATGAGAATGAAGACATGAGCTACCAGAAAATGTGGGACACAGATAAAGCCATGTTAAGGGGAAAATGTATAGCTCTGCAAGCATTTATCAGGAAGGAAGAAAGGACCCACATAAATAGCCTGACTACACAGCTCAAGATCTTAGAAAAGGACCAACAAAAGGAGCCCAAACCAGGCAGAGGAAAGAAATAAAAAAAACTTAGAGCAGAAATCAATGACATGGAAACCCAAAAAACAATCTGAACGCTCAACAAAACCAAGAGCTTGTTCTTTGAGAAAATAAACAAGACTGATAAACCACTAGCAAGACTCACAAAGAAAGAGAGAACCCTAAGAAACCGATTCAGAAATGAAAGGGGGACATGACAACAGAAACCAAAGAAATTCAAAAGATCATCAGAGACTGCTTTCAAAGTCTGTATGCCACAAAACAAGAGAACCTAGAAGAAATGGATAAGTTCCTGTGTTCCTTTAATCTCACAACACTGAACCAAGAAGATCTGGAACACCTGAATAGACGTATTAACATCAAGGAAATTGAAACTGTAATCAAAAGTCTTCCCAAAAACAAAAGCCCAGGTCCAGATGGATTCACTAGCGAATTTTTCCAAACATTTAAAGAGGACCTATTGCCAGTTCTTTTCAAGCTTTTCCAGGAAACAGAAATTCTCCCAACCCTTTTCTGCGAGGGACATATATCTCCCTAATAAGAAAGGCAAACAAAGTCACCACAC